ATCATGCGGGGTCCACCTCATGTGAGATAGTGGACACCCTTATGTATAAGAAATTATGTACAAGTAGCATAGTCCGGTTCTATTTTCTTGTTTTTGGCACATCTCACAGATAATAATCGGAAAAAACAAAAGCTAACTTCTAATAAAAAACACATTTGTCTCATCTAAAAAAGAAAGGTATTCGTCGAGTTGGGGATTTTTTTAAAAACAATTGCACTTTGGCGACTCTTCCTACCGTTGGAAAAATTCGAACATATGTGGCCACATATGTAATATATTAAAATGTGTGGTGCTATTGTTTAAAAATTAGTCAATTAAAGTGATCCGTTAATGTTAATTTTGACTAATGTGTATAAGATTTCATAGAAATATAGTGTAGAGACCGAAATGTTGTTTTAAAATTGATGAGGGACCAATTTGATACAACTGAAAAGTTAATAACTACATATGCAGTTATTATTATTATTTTGTTGGGTCATGATCCCCAAGTTGATAGTGACTTTTCATTCTCTGTATTCCCATCAACATAGATTAAATTGAAAAGAAGATCACGAATCAATTGAAAAATCACAACCCATTTAGGCAAACAATTAGACATTTATGGATCAATGTATGTTTATGCTTTATTCTTTTCTCTAATTTCAACATGAAATATGTATTAGAGTTTATATGTGAAAAGGGTTTGATTAAAGCATATGGATTGATAATCTTTTTCTTGTTTTCTAACACCTACTTCTTAGGATGATCTAAACATTATTTTTTTGTCTAAAGATGTGCATTTTTTTAGATTGAGTCCTTGCAACTCAAGCAAGATTTTGTTTTAATTTCACTCGCGTCTGTCCTCGTTAGTGGGAATATGACTTTCACAGGATCTAATTCCATTACAACATTCACAAATTTTCTATCTTCGATAAGTTTAAAATCTTTGACATGTCGCTCAAAGCTCAACTGTTAAGTAGATAAATATCTTTCTATCTGTTTTCCTCAATCATCCATAACAACCCGTCCAATTCATGCCAGACGTGGATTATTCTTGTGCACTCATCTATAGTAAACTTGATTTTGCTTGCAAAAGAAAAAAACAAATTATTAGTTTACATTCTTTTGCACAATCTATAGTAAACTTGATTTTACTTGCAAAAGAATTTTTTTTTTTTATTAGTTTACATTCTTTTTAATTTAATTGCTTCTCCTCTATTGAAAGCCTTGTTAAAAATCCTTAGCAAGCTACCAAATGTTCACGCATAACTGAGATAGGTCAATCGCGTCTTTTGAAACTCTTATATTTTCAAATCATTATGTAGGGAAACCGAAGTAGAGTACTCCATTTGATATTGTCAATTTCAACTTCTTCTCAATTTTTTGAATTTTCGATATGACTAGTCTATACATTTCAGGTAATTTTCTAGATGATCAAATATCATCCACATTTCTTTTCTTTCAAGACATTCCTTCGTTGCACGTTCCAAATTTTTCATCGTAACTCGACATCTAGCCTAAACTTAATCTCATGTCAAATTTCCATAAAAACCTAGCAGCATTTAATCAAAAAATTCTATAAGATATAGCTGCACTAATCAAAATATTAATGAAATTTAGTCCGTCAAAGTGAAAGCCCAACCCAAATTCATAGTTTCTGTTCAATGAAAATTGCAAGTCTCTTACAAAGCGGCAAAAAGTTGAGAATTTTGTCCGTAATTTTTCAATTGGCGCCCAACTGTGGAAATCCCTCCAAACATCAAATCCAGGAAGGGAAAAAAAAAAATTTCTTTAATAAAAAAACATTTCAAATTGCTTCAATTTCAAGTTTTCAACTGACATAAATACCAGGGCTCCAGAAAGAGTACTGCCAGTGGAAAAGCAGATCGGAGAGAGAAGGGAGAAGGAAACTCCTCTCTGAAATCGTGTCCCATACATTTGGGTTTCTGTAATTTGAACTGAGGAGCAAGATTTCCTAAGAGCAATGGCTATTGTTTCAAGTTCCGACTCCAAACAAAATATGCGTGAACGCAAGGAGAAAATGAAGAGCCCTAACAAGAAAGAGAACCAATCCCAGAACCCAGGGGAAAATGCTTTGTTTCCATCGCCTGCAAAGCGCAACAGGGGGCCCAGACTTCAGGTTGTTGGTGGCAGGATTTATGATTCTGTTAATGGGAAAACTTGCCATCAGGTATTCTGCTTAAATCACATGAAAACCCTTTCTGTTAGATTTTTTTTGTTTTCTTTTTCATGGGAAAAATTTCTTATGTAAATTAAATGTAGTGCGTGCATGTTTAAACTATAATTCTTTTGTTTTCTAAATTTACTTGGCTGTTTAAGCATCCCCAGTGTTGAAAAAAATGTGTTATAATGGAGCATGGCTAACTGTAAGTTCATATTTAGCTAGTAATAATTTTTGGAAATTGTGGATAAATGTGCAAGTGGTTTAAATATAAATAGAATCGTTAATGAAGAAACTTTAAGCTTTAATTTCGTTCTTTCAATAAAATACTCATTCATATCTGTCAAATTATTGAATATGTTATGAAGAAACTAGAAATATTAAACTGAAATTTGAATACTGAGAGGTTTGATGGTGTGAAACTTCAACACTTGTGTAGATTTAGGAATAGCTGTGTCATACAGTGCAAGGGTAACTTCTGTTACTCTAGTTGATGATCTGAATGTTAACTTAAAATTTCTATGTTTATAACTTTCTTTTATACTCAATGATTTGAAGTGTCGTCAAAAAACTATGGATTTTGCGGCAACATGCAACAATCAGAGAAACGACAAGCCATGTCCCATTATGTTTTGTCATAAATGCCTCTTGAATAGGTAAGTGGCAACTTACTGTAAATCATCATTTGAGTATTCGTTTATTTTATTTCCCGGGGCGTTTTTGGCACTATTGTTATTGTTTCTAAATTAGGTATGGAGAGAAGGCAGAAGAGGTAACTGCCTTGGGGGATTGGAACTGCCCCAGATGCAGAGGCATTTGCAACTGCAGTATTTGCATGTGAGTATCTTGTATATTGTTTTGATAGGTTGCTCTTGTGTTTTCCTGATCTATTAACTGTTCAATGATTAGGAAGAAAAGAGGTCATCAACCAACCGGTATACTTATTAATAGGGCAAAGGCAATTGGCTATTCCTCTGTTTCTGAGATGCTGCTTAAGGGGGCAGATAATTTAAATTCACAAAAGGATGTTGAAAACACTGTTGGTTATGCAAAAGAGATAACTGCCTCAGAAAAGGTGCGCAACATCATTTTAATATGGTCAAGCATGCTTTAATAATACACATAGGGTTATCTGTTGATATAACTCATGTTCTGGGGTTATTTCTTTTCCTAAATTTAACAGGAAGTTGGCGTTTCACCTAGAAAGCGGGGAAAGGAAAATTCTTTTGAAGGGAAGTTAGATTCAAATTTGCATTCTGGGAAGATAACTAGTCAAAGCCCCGATGCGAGAAAATCAAAGAAAATGAAGCAAAGAGGCGGAGAGAATAGGGATGATGATGACAGGACTGTTGGTATTTTATCAAAAAAAAGTAGCCAACAAGGCAGTGAGAAGCAACAGAAGAAAATTAAGCGGGATAAATCAAACAAGAAAAGCAATGACGACAATCGTAAAGAAAATTCAATGGAGAATGAACTACGTGGTGATGAGAGGAAAACAAAAAAATCAAAGAGCAATGGGTTGGGGGAGAGTAACAGTGGCAACAAGGAGGATGCCACCTTAGTAAAGAGGACAAGTCCTAGAAAGTTGAAAATTTCTAAGAAAATGTCCCATCAAGAGGCAATACTCAATATCGGAGTTGATTTACAAGAAATTATCTCTGGTTCCAAAGATCTTGTGGAGCCCTATGGAAATGCCAAGGGAAAAGGAGTGGACAACAATACTTCTGATGATATAAATGTTGTAAATCTCCAAAATGCCGATCTTCATGCTTACATTCCATTGCCCCAGGGAACAGAATTGACAACCGTGGGTGGCATTGATGTACAGCCTGAAGACATTGGCAATGCCTTGCAGTTTTTAGAATTTTGTGCTACTTTTGGAAAGGCAAGTGACTTCCATTATACTTTTACATGAAGATCTTTGGGCTCACTTGATAAAATATTTATATATATGTATGCTGTTATGTTTTTTATTTTTTTTTATTTTGGAAGTTCAATGTATATGAACAGCCTATTCTGCATTGATATTGGCTACTACAATAAACCACATGTATAATGCCAGTGTTATTACCCTTCTTTCTGTGTAGTTTAAACTGGTTCGTGTGTTTTCTTTGTAGTTAAGGACGTGTACCTTAGATACTAAGCATATTATTGCACCCATTCGCAATCATTTCAATTTGTCTTATATGTTAATTAATGGCAGTACTAGTTACTTTATTATCATTTCCATACTGTAATTCCTCTTAATTCATATCTGACCTATGGGATGTGATCAACAACTACACACCATCAGGTGCCTGAAATTTTTGACCTTCATCACCCTCCATTTCTGTTTGCCTCTTCATCTACAGATTCTTGAGGTGAAAGAATGGCAGCCAGGACTTGTTCTTCAAGATATATTACACGGAAGAACTGGACGCCGAGGAAAATTTTCTTTAAGTGTTCAGTTTCATATCCAGTTGCTATCTTTAATACTAGAGGAAGAGGGAGAAGAGTACGACCCTCAGTTTCATATCCACTTTATCTCTTTCACCTAAATAGAAAGATAACTGTTTTACGCTTTTTTTATAGATGTACAACACTAAGTCCAACAGACGGTAAAAACTCGTGGTTCCACACTCTCAAGAAATGCTTCTCTGAATCTAAGAGTGTTCAAAAGACACAAGTGCTGGATTCTTTAAATAAGGCTGCTGATTATGAGACTTTAAATGCTTCAGAGAAACTTGAGCTTTTGAAGCTTCTGTGTGATGAACTTCTTGAAACTGCGTAAGTTTGAGAATTATGCTGCCTTTTCCTTTCCGATCTCTTATCTTTAATCATTATTAAAATTTCTCCACGTTAATAATCTTTTCATTTTTCTTCTTCAAATATAGAAAGATACGAAGTTGGATAGACGAACAAAACTTGATATTTTCTGAAAAGAAGAAGGAAGCCAAAATGAAAGTTCTTGCCGCTAAAGATAAGGTAATAACTATTTTCAGATAGTCCTGTTGTGGGAAGTACAGTTACATTTAGACATTTTTTATGGAATATAATATTTTATGCAGGAGAAGAGTTTGAAACAGAAAATGAGAGATGATATTGCCAAAGCAATTATTGCAAAGCACGGTGCCCCCCTCTCAATTTCAGAACATGAGGCTATTCTTTCTAAAATAAAATCTGAAGCAGCACATGCTCATGCCAAGGTGCTTGAGTCACAAGGCATGTTCTCAAAGAGTAAGTTGTGAGTTGCTCTTGCAAGGGATAGAGTTTCAATTTGTCATTACTCTTAAATGTTATTAAGAGCGTGTTTGGTCCGGATTAAAATTCAATTAAAATTGAAAATATAACCGTTATTTGGTCCCACTCCTCTAATAAAAGTCAATAATAATGGCTAGTTTTTTAATTTTAATCCGATTTTAATTTTTGTCGAACACGCCCTAATTAAGTATAAGCACGATATTCAAGATAAAGACAGGCATGCGTTTCACTGTCTTGATGTTCTTGGGCCTTTTCGATCACTAGTCTAAATATCTAACAAATGTGTTTGATCTTTTGTAGATATCAAGTAAGATTATGAAAATAAATAATTTATTCCTCTGTACATTACAAAACAATGCTTGTAACATTTCTTCATTTCAGAAAGTTCACACGTCAGTGTCTTGTCTTCTCAATCTGAATGATAGTATTCATTGTTTTCTTATATCACAAGTTCTGTGATTGGTCAATCCTTTCCATACCTTTCTAACTCCCTAAAACAAGAGTGTTACCTCTATGAAAGGAGTTTGACCCATATGCTTATTGTTATTTTGTCACCCAAATTCTATTGGATGTTTGTGGATTGGTTGAAAGAAGTGTTAAAAGGGGTATGAGAAAGTTTTGGGATAGCAATTGGGTGTTTGGGCGTCCAATCCGGGCGTCATACAAGGTGTTTGAAATCAAGTTGGACTCGAAACGAAGCTTCTAAGCGGCATACACGCAATGCTCGAGCACTGTCTCCACTGCTCGCTTACTGTTCGATTTGAATGATGGTATCCATTATTTTCTTATATCACAAGTTCTAAGATTGAAAAATCCTTTCCATTCCTTTCCAACTCCCTAAAACCAGAGTGTTACCTCAATGAAAGGAGTTTGCCCCATATGCTTGTTATTTTGTCACCCAAATTTCATTGGATGTTCATGAATTGGTTGAAAAAGGTGTTAAAGGGGTATGAGAAGTTTTGGAGCAGCAATGGGCGGGCGCTCGGAAGGTGTTTGGAATCAAGTTGGACCTGAAACGAGGCGTCTAAGCACCATACACGAGCGCCTGAGCAGTGTCCTTGTTGCCCGCTTACCGCTCAAGAGCTGCTCGCTTGGCTCGAGGTTCCTGCTTGAGCGGTTTATATATTTGGGGAAATTTTGTTTCCTTCTTTTGACGCGGTTTTTGATCATTTTTCCATTTAAAATATATTCTTTTGGGTCTTATATATACTCCACACAAAATTCTTGTGAGTTTTACAGAGGTAGACAATATTGTAAACATAGTATTATTGTCCTCATTCCTCTATCAAATTGTTCTTGTTCTAGTGTTGTATTTTCTACTTTATATTATGTCATATAATTTCGTCTTTAATTCCTAACACCTATAAATGGGTGGCTTGAAAATGCTGTTTCTTAATTAAGGTTACTAGTAGGCATGATAACTTTTCTGGTTCTCTAATTTCAGTTTTCATTCAATTTACAGAGCATCAAGTGTCAGCTACTGTTAGAATAGAACCTATCTTCATAGCGCCTAATGGTCATGCATATTGGAGATTAAGTTCTAGCAAATCTGATATACTACATCAAGGTATGTTATCTGTGCGCTATCTTGAATTCTAAGTTAACTGATTTTTTAATGAATTCATTTTTCTTCTTCAACATAGACATTGGAAGAGTGGAGGATCCTCTTACCTTAGATGAGAAATGGTTTGCTCTTGATGATGAAGAAAAGGAAGCAGTTGAAAAGCACAGTTTTCCATTAAGGTCAGCACTACTCTCTTATAAGAGTCAATTATCGTATATCCTTGGAAGCATTTTAGAATAGAATCTAGGAAGTCCAAATCTTGTATTTTCCGAAATAACTGACTAACGTTTAATCTTCAATTTCCCTTGATTAGGGCAAAGAGGCTAAGAGCTCATAGGTCTCTGGATGGACTTTGCTGCTGAAACAGTGCTGTCCCTATTGTGCCTTTTGATGTTATTGTCAATCTCCCGCCCCAGTCTTACAATCGAGGAATACAAGACTGAGTTTTATGTTTCTACCACCAAAATTTCAGAAGCTGGTAGTTACAAGAAAAGTGGAAAGTGGCAAAATCTCATTTAGCTTTTTCATTATTTGAAGCTGCTGATGTTGAGCAGTGACTTCTTATAGTTCTCAGTAATTGGACCTTTCATTCTTGGCATCTTTTCTATCAAATTTGATCAAAATATTTTTAGTTTAGAATTTCGTGAAAAAATTAACATGTTATTTCATTCCATAGCTAAATTTGACTTGATTATAGCTAAGCTAAACTATTCTCAAGCTCTTTGATACAAGCATATGCAAAAGCAATGAGCACATGTCTAGTTACAAAGCCTGCTAAAGGATTTCCTTACAGCCTCTAACTCTTTTGCTATGTTATTTATTGCATTTATTTGACTCAGTTTCGTGTTTAATATGTTAGATTGCCCATGTTTGGTACATATTCTTTTAAAATTCATTTTTAACTATATATTTTTCAATAAAATAATATTTTTCATCACATTAATAATTTTTTTTACTTTTTAACTACGTATTTTTTTTTATCATATCACTATTTAAAATACGTTCTTTCTTTAATAATATCCATTGAACACAGCTTTCTAATAGAAATGAACAAAATAATTAACAAATTTTGTCCTGTATCTCTTTTTTAATCTTCTAGGATTTTATATAATCCAACTTAAAATATATCTGTTGACACATAAAAAGTGCAGCCCAAGCAGAAGGCCCAAAGAGCAAGGCCCAATCGAGGTCCTAGTATTCGAAGAGAGGAGCCCAATTGAAGGTTCGGTATGAGAGCCTGAATAAAAGTGNTTAAACTGCATACATGTTAGTAGGAGTCTTCTAGTGTATAATTGTGTTTGCATTTCTTGATTAGAATCATCTCGTCAAAAATTAGTAAAAACTTGTTTGGGAGAGATTTTAATTCAATTAAAATTAAAAATATAGTCGTTATTGGGTCTCATTATCTAATAAAAGTTAATAATAACGATTAGTTTTTCAATTTTAATTCGATTTTAATCTCTCTCAAACAAGCTCTAAGAGACATCCTACCTAGACAAAGAATTGATGACATTGCAACCCATTTGATGTTATTTTGACATTAATGTATCAATAAGGATAAATCGCACCTTTTTTTCCTTCTTAATTTTATGAAAAATATGATTTTAATGCACTGAGTGTGAAAACACTTCAAAAACTGAGTGCTTTTATCTTCGTTAGTGTATTGTATGTCAAATTATGATTTAATGTTAAGTCATCAATACATTGGTTGGGTAGTATGTACATTTCTAATTTTGCGCACATGGTATATTGTTTGAGGACCATTTAGGTTTTTTTTCATCTACACCTTCATGATTTTGCCTTATGAGTAGACCTTTTGTTTTCCCCCTAGCTTCTAGATTTAGCAATTGGGGTTCCCCTTGGAGAGCTGTACGGACCGTCTATGTCCGAATCACTTGATATCGAGATTATTCGAGTAAGTTAACCAATCGATTCATTTTTTTTTTACTCATTCAACGTCTGAAATGTCGTGATTTGAGTGAACAATTCTATCTATGTAGGATTATCCATTGAAATTTTTCTTCAATTCAATTAGAAATACTTTGGTGGGATGGTCTTATATATTACATAGTAGAGCCATTTACTCAAATGACGACACATTGGACTCAAATCTCAATAAGAAAAGTAACATAAAACTTGAGAGAAGGATTGACGTGAGGGGGTGGGGATGGGCGGATGGCTATATTTCTTGGAGCGAACTCCGGGCCCTTCTTGTTCTTGATAAAGTCAATTGCCTCCAAAAGAATGTTGTGATAAGATCAAGCTTTAAGTTGCCAATATAATTTATGAGAACAAATAATGAAACAATATTTTTCCAAGATGGAATATTTTTGCCCGTGAGCAACGTAATTTGCCATGGCAATCTGTGGAGCAGCCTTTTCTGGATCAAATCCAATGAGCTGTTCTTGAGCGTCTCTGTTCAATTTCTCAGCAAACTCTCTTGATCTCTCAATGCCAATCAACTTTGCAAAAGTTCATTAGCAAGCAATCTGCAGTTTTCGCCAGTTCTTGAGGAGACATAGTTACATCAAGAATATCATCCATCACCCGAAACAACAATCTGACACATCTCGAATGCTTTCTCAGCCTTTTGATTTCCTCATGCACCACGATAGCAGAAGCCTCCAACACGGTTGCAGTCTTATGAAGATGAATGTACTCAAGTTTTTCCAATCCAGTATCAGATTGATCATGACCTCCATATTTCAAATCAGCCACCTGCCCAGCTACCACCATTCTGGTCCAATCAATCTTGCCAATTCCGTTGGCGAATATCATCAATCATCATTGTCCATACAAGGAAGGTCATTGTTGATAGAAAATATAAAAGGAATTATCGATCCAAAACATTATCACAAACCCTTTTCACACATACAAACCATCCACGTAGAAATCAATGAGAACAACTAAATAAAAGCGGAAGCGTACCTTAATCTATATGTTTGATTGTTTGCCTGAATGAATTATGATCTTCCAATTTGATTTGTGATCTTTTTTTCAATTTCGATCTCTGTTGATGGGGATGCAGAAAATCTTGAAGAACACAACAAATTGGGGACCATGACCCCATATAACAATAAGATAGTTAATGGTCATTATCTTTCATTTGTTTCAAATTGGCCATTTATCAATCTAAAACAAACATTCGGTTTCTACACTTTAATTCCATGAAACCTAATACGCATTAGTCAAAATTCATCTTTAGTGGATCGCTTTAATTGGCTAATATCCTATAAATAATAGTACCATACATTTTAATAGACAACGTGTGGCCCCAAATATGACGAAATTATCCAACAATCTTCCACTGTACCTACGTGTAAACTTAAAAATGTGCACAACCTTATGAACTCAAAATTTTGCTATATTATTATGGGTATTTCCAAACAATCTCGTTCATTAATCATATTGATATAGGATCAAAGCGATTTTCATCACATTTAACGTGACTAAATCCATCAATGGTCACGTACACTCATACAACCAAATGACATAGATCAATCATAGGAGTGTAGTATGAAAATTACATGTTATGTGATCCAAACATATCTATTTCTAACTGATCCAACTTTATTTCTTAAGTGAGATCAACCATAAACTTTAATCGGAGTGAAACTGAACTGAATACTTTATTTCTGAAGTTAACCGAATATCCATTGACAAAATATGTGTCTAAAATAGACAATATCCAAATACAAACTCCCACAAAACTGACATATCATCAAAAGATGCAACACCCATGTGAGCATTATGCTCATGAAAGACCTTGGGTGATAGCCATTTAATAAATGGATCTATGATAATGGAGTTTGTCTTAATATGCTTTATAGAAATCTAATCACCCTGATTTCTTTCCTTACAATTAGGAACTTAATATCTTTAGACTTTGACATCGCCATGTTCCCGTTGGAATACAAGACTGTTATTGTCACAATGATCTTTCAAATTTATCCAAAATATACAGCCTTATGACAATATTTTGCAGTCATATTCCATGATCAGAATCGGAATATCCAATGATCTCCAATTGGTCTGATTTTCTTGAATGTGATTATGTAATCCTTAGTTCTCCATAGGTACCGAATAACCTCATGGCTGCTTTCCAAATTTTCATTCCGAAGTTAATAAAATATCTGTCTAGCATTTCAACAATGAATGTTATATCCAAATGTGTGCAAACTTGAGTATACATTAAATTCCCAATTACTAAAACATAGAGAATTTCATGTATTTTCTTTTATTTAAAATTTTCCATAAGGTATTAATCGAGACCAAACTTGTCTCCCGTAGCAATAAGGGTATCACCTGAATTCCATATCTGCATTTCAAATTTTTTAAGAACTTATCGATACATCTCTTTTGTGATAACCCAAAAAAATACACCAAAAACAATTCTTGTGTATCTATATCTTTATTACAAAAGAGGTATCACCAAGATTTGCTTACTCCCACCGAACTTGTGATATCCACAATCATCAACTGAATTCATCTCAAAACCAAATGAGATAATTATTTGATAAAATTGTGATACTATTTCGGGAAACCAGCTTAAGCCTATAAATGGATTTCTTTAATTTGTAAATCATCTAATGTAACTTTAGATCAAAATATGTCACAGATGCCATAATTGTCCTAAAAGAGTCTTTCGTTGAAATTGTAGAGAAAGTCTCTTTGTAGTCAATATCTTCCTTTTTGGTAAAGCCTATTAGCTACAGACGAGCCTTATATCTTTCCACATTACCATTCGAATCCCTTTTGGTTTTAAATATCCATTTGCAACCAATGAGTTTCGCACCTTCTAGTAATGGGATAAGATCTCAAACTTTATTGTCTTGCATAGACTTATACTCCTTATTCATTGCATCAATCCACTTTTTTTAAAATTATTCATTTGCATAGCTTGATGAAAGTTGATTGACCAATTCTTCTTTCGTCAATCAATGCCATCATTATTTTCTTAGAGAAAGACTATAAAGTCATCCAGAATAGTAGATTTCCTTAATGACATTTGTTCTTGAGGTTGTTGAGTTTGTTTTTCTGGAACAATCTCTTGATTGTGTATGGAGAATTTTGTAATACTGTCTTGATTCGAAATTTGCTTCTTGAACAAGATCTGGAATAAGAATTTGTCCCTGAACCAAATCATTGACAATTGCAATAGAAGGAATATATACATATTCTTCATCCAATACAAAATCATTAACCTTATAACCTTATCTTCCCTCGTAAACTCTACATCATCAAGAAATCAAACATTTCCCGTTTGAAAATTGATTTAATAATGGGATCTTTAAAAAATTTGTCACCACTTAAAAATTGCTTTACTTGGAACTGTTTTGGGAATTTAAGCTGCAATCTTTAGTGCTTCTACCTAAAAAGATCCTGATATACTGTAGAATGATTCCGCATTCCTTTAGGAATTTAGCAAAAGGCCCTGGACGTTGTTCTCCTGATCCGTCATATCTGTCATAGTATTCACCACTATGGTAAGATTTGACTTGTTGAATTCTTTTACTGAGTTGATTTTCAACCTCAGTCTTATATGCTTTGAACATGTTCAGTGTTTGGGATTCTCATAAATGAGATATATGTAACCATAGTAAGAATAATCGTTTATGAATGTAATAAATGACTGTTGACCATTCCAAGAAGCCGAAGAGAATGGTCCAAGATATCTGTATGAATTAGTTCCAAGATGTCTGAAGTCCTATGGCACCCAATCTCCTTATATTTGTTTGTTTTCCCTTAATACAATTAACATAAACACTAAAGTCTGGAAAAATTAGGGGAATCAAGAATTCCTTCTGACATAAGATTTTTCATTCTCTTTAGAGAGAAGTGACCTGATTGTTTGTGCCATAATAAAGGAGAATTCTCATTGAATAATTTATGTTTAATACCACATGGATTCACATACAAGATTTATTTATAAGAGACAACCGTATTAAGCAGATATAGGTTATCATAACCGGATAAAGAACTGGTACCCACAATGTTTGAATTAAGAAAAAGATCAAATTAACTATTTCAAATTGAATAAGAGTAACCAAATTTGTCCAATGTAGAAATAGAAACCAAATTCCGTCCAAAAAGACAACACCGCAAATGTCTTTTTCAAACCCAAATATAATCAGTCTTTAATGATAACTTAAATTTCCTACAGCCTCAACCTTAACCGATTTTCTATCGCCCTAGATAGATAAATATTTCAGCATCAATTGGTTTTGGCAGCTCAGACACCCCCGCATAGACACACTTATGTGAGTGGTGGTACCGAAATTTATCCACCAAGTGTGTCTAGACCTTAAAACAAACCAAAGTGAGAAATGTACGTTTCTTTACACTCCAGCGTGGTATTTAGTATAATCTCTTTTTATATATCCCAAATTTTTACAAAATTTACAGCTAAATTTATCATTTTCAACCTTTTGCTGTTAATTTAAAACCGAATCGGATGCAACTTTGTTATTCTTTATTACTTATCCTTAGAAGTATTCGCCAAATGAACATTTTCAGTCATTTCTTGCTTCATCATTTCTTCTTCTTGCACACAGTATGAAATGAGCTCATTTAGAGTCCAATTCTCATTCGGGCAGTTATAACTGACCTTAATTAACCGAATTGTGCAGGAAGCGGTATCAATACCAAATGTACGAGCAAGTCATCAGACAACTTGAGCTTTAGTGCTTTAAGTTTAGAAGCAATGTGAGATATTTCCATGATGTACTCTCTTATATTTCATTTGCCTTTATACCTCATTGAAATCAAGCGTTGCAGAAGCGTGTTTGTTTCAGCCTTATTGTTTTCGCAAAACTTTTCTCAATTTCGGCCAGGAAATCCTTGGCATTAGTTACTTCTTCAGATACAGCGCCTCTAAAGGCTTCCGGAATGTCGTGCTTAATGATCAGTAGACTCATGCGATTTGATCGATCTCACTTCTCAAAGTTTCTCTTTTCATCATATGAACATTCGTCCGTAAGAGGAGTGGGTTACTCAATCCGAAGTACAAGATCTAGATCGATGCAGCCAAGAACAATCAATACATTCTCTTTCCAATCCTTGAAGTTTTGGTTCTAGCACAGGAATTGAATTGATATAGGCAGATATTTAAGAAGTTGATTGATGAACTGAATAGAGAACTTATACTTAATTAATATGTTCACATAGGAATCCGTATTGAACAATTAATAAATTCAAATAATGGTAAATCTCATCTCAAGATACTTAGCACAACATTAATATCACGTTTTTGTAGTGATCAAACATTGACAATAACTCCTGTCAAATAATAATGGTACTCTTATAATTGTCATGCGTTTACCACCACAGGTGTGCATGCAATTCGGCCAAATATTAACCTTCCTTTGGGCCGACTAATATCCCCATGAACTAGCATACACACGAAATCTTTCTAATATTTTAAGTTAATTAATTTTCACAAGAGAGGTTGCTTTGGCAACATATTGCTTCAATTACTTCACTTTTGAATATTATATATACTCAAACGAGTCATTTATACCAAAATTTGAAAAATAAAATACTTAATTTTATTTGTCTTGAAACTTTAAGGGCCTAATGATTAATAATTCAGAATTTTAGGGTCCAAAAATTAATTATCCGGAACTTTATGGGTGAATAATTAATTGTTGGAAACTTTAGGAGTTAAAAAATTAATTATCCAAAACTTTAAGGACCCAAAAATAATTATTCAAAACTTTAGGAGGTAAAATTAATTAATTTTAAACTTTAGGAGGTAAAATTTAAAACTTTTTGGGGCCAATTAGAACAAAATCAGAAACTTTGGGGGTTTTAATTGCAAAATGCAGAACTAAAATTGCCCAAATAAATTAATTTTAAAACTCCAAGGACTGAATTTATATAATCTCATAACCTTAAGACCCAACTTAAATAAATTTTTAACTTTAAGGGCTAAAATATTTAAACACATAACCTTAAAGACCAATTAGGATTAACTTTAAATTTTAGGGGCTGAATAATAAATAACTCAACCCTAACCCTAATTTTTAATTGCAAGCAGGGGCCTCAAAACTTCAAATTTGGAGCCCAATTCCTCGCCCTCAAAAATTCCAAAACTGAAAATGCTTTAATTCTTTCATAACCAAAAAACCTTAATGAAGAAACCTTCTTCTTCCTTTATCCTTGGCGCCGCCAAGGCCACAAGTGGCCGGGGAAGATGCCAGAGGGCACCTCCCCGACCAGTGCACCAGCAGCGTGAAGTTCAAATAATCCATAAAAAATTCAGAATTAAAAACTTCAATTTCTCACGAATTTCAACTATGGATTGACTTTGATATCACTTGATAGAAAATACAAAATGGATTATCGATCTAAAACATTATCACAAACCCTTTTCACACATACAAATCATCCACGTTGAAATCAATGAGAACAACTAAATAAAACCGGAAGCGTACCTTGATTCATAGATTTCTGATTCTTTGTCTGAATGAGTTATGATCTTCCAATTTGATTTGTGATCTTTTTAATTTCGATCNTCTCTGTTGATGGGGATGCAGAAAATCTTGAAGAACACAACAAATTGGGGACCATGATCCCATATAACCATAAGATAATGAATGGTCATTATCTTTCATTTGTTTCAAATTGACTCCTCATCAATCTAAAACAAACATCCGATCTCTACACTTTAATTCCATGAAACCTAATACCCATTAGTCAAAATTCATATTTAGTGGATCACTTTAATTGACTAATATCCTGTAAATAATAGCATCACATATTTTAATATATAACGTGTGGCTCCAAATATGATGAAATTATCCAACAATTGTGCATTAAACACGTGCACCATCTCCATCATGCACGCCGATGGCATAGCTGTGGATTCATTGCCACCAACAAGCTCACAGGAGGCAATGCAGACTATAGTGCAGATCCGTTTGCCACCAGAGAGAAGAAAGTAACGCATTGCTTCATGGATCTTGGTGGAGTTTCTTAATGGAACAGAAGCAATCTAAGGCCATATTCACAACATTGATCTTCTGAAGCATATAGGCCTTAAGATCACCATCAAGATTCGTCGGATTATGAACAGGTAAATAGGAAATGAATCTATTTTCTGAACCTGGGAATAAGAAAGGTCTGAACTTTCCCTTCCAATGATGAAACAATTTATTTGGCATAGTTGAACTATAAATTTCATCTCTTTCCTTCTGGATGACCTTTTATTACTGCATTCTTGTTTTTGCCACTAACTTGGCATATTATTCGTACACCAAGGATTCTAAGTAGTTAAAGAATCAGGTTAAAGGATTAATTCTTGTACTGTACCAATTAACTCTGAAGATTTACTTCATACCAGTTGGGTAGTCCAGACTTGTATTCTCGCTCTGCATGTGAGTAATTTAGAATTTTTTGTATCGTTTTTCGCATATTAGCGCCTTGTAGCTAAAGCTTCGTCATAATATAGAAAATAAATGAGTTGGAAAAGTAAAAACCAACACGTAAATCATCCAAGAAAGTCAATTTTCTAGCTCAGACAATTTTCTAACTGCCCCACCCGTGAATGAAAGCCAATTTTCAAGCTAGAGGGACATAGCACGAAATGCCCGGATATGTATACTTTGAGAAAATGGACTAGACAAAACTTAGCTAAACCATTCAACTCACGTGGTGCGAAGACTATTGAATATGAGGCTTGGGCAGACCAAGCTTGTCTGGTTGTGCTACTTTCTACTAAAAAAAATTGGTGAAATTGGTTAAACATCATTGAATTGCACATTTCATTTCATCCACAATTTTTATTTAATTTTTAATCGCACATTTTTTTGGATCCTGATAAATGTGTTTTGTACACTTATCTAGTCCGTTAAATTAGAGTATTTGTTAGTAATTTGGATGAATTATAACTAAATTTTATGTTAATTATGTTTGTTAGGTTAAACTCAATGCAAATTGGTGGATTTGGAAGAAATGAACAAAAATGTGTGAAAACAAAGAGAATTCAAAGTTTGGAAATCAAAGTATAAACATCCAATAGTTGATTTGGACCACAAAACGATGATTGAAGATCATATATGATCAATTGGAGGTCAAATGAGTGAAATATAGTGAAAATATTTTCACAAATCAATTTCCACCCGAAGAAGTTAAGCTTCAGAGTTTTAGCCTCAAATTGATACCCATTTTTCGGATAGCAAACGTTCGAATTAAAAATATTGTACTTCTAGAAGAATTGTAGTCATTCGAATTATATTTCCAACGCATTTTGAATCATCTCAATCGGATATTTGTAGAGAAAGTTATGTCCAAAATATTGAAAACTGTTCAGGGACGAACCGAAGCGAACCTGCGCACGCACGGGGACAATTCATGGCTCGCGCGGTATCCTATTTCCCCCAACCCGAGATCCATTTGGCTCAACGGCGAGCGCGCAATGGTTATGCATGTGCGCGCGGGGACCATTTCCGCAGATGAATCAGTAGTTTCCTTTCGTGATTCAAACTCTTTTGGATCCCAAATTGGACGCAATTTTGACATATTTTCTAACTCTTATAAGTAGAGAATGAGGGTTACACATTAAAAAAAAAAAACTCTCTTGAATCTTCATACACAATAGTATCATCAAAGTCATCAAAAACAAGAGGCAAATTGTTATATTTTGATAGAGATCAAACCCTAGCAAGAAATTGAAGGTCAATTACATTAAGATTTTGAAGAATCCAACCTTAGGCTTGAAGATCAACATCTTTTGATTTATTTCATAATTCAGGTGATACTTTTATATTATTCTTTTTGTAATTTATATATTAACATATTACGGTAGATCATTTTTTGTATTGGATGAGGATGAATCATATTGTTTATTTGTTTTAATTCATGAATAATAATTTAGTTTATTTCTTGGATTAATTTTGTATACCCATTGCATTATTTGATTGATTGTCGATTGACCACCAATTAGATATTTAATTGCTTGTTGTTGTGTAGTGAGACTCACAATTAAGTTTAGAACGCAATAAAATTAACATATTTGCAATAGATGTTATAAATAACATATCACGTGTGCAATCATATAAATAATATAAACTTTAATACATTCAAATCATTCGAATTCAGACTTGGAATAAATTTAGGTCGTGTTTAGGATAAATTTAATTTATCTTGGAAAAGAAAATTATATATAATAGTTTTATTAATTGTTAAAAACGCATGAACGGAACTAGATTACAAATTAAGAATTGAAATAGATAGCAATATGTGGAGTCGAGATCCATTACAATCATCCATAAAGTGATAAAAATCACATTTTTACTGTTTTCTTAGATTAATTTAACATAAAACAAAATCAAACTCAATTTTGTTTACGTAATTTGAATCACATAAAAAGTTAGTAAACTTGAATTGAATTTACTCTCTGTGGGATGGTACTTTCAACTCGTCAATTATATTACTTGTAAATGATCTCGTACGCTTACGGGTTTCGCACAGATAGATCCACCATCTTTTATTAATTTTATTTGCTAAAACAGTGTTGCCCTCGATCCGCCCCTGCTCTATTTCGACCCATTATGTCACAGATTTCCTACAGGGAGACACCATTGAATGTTTCTTAAATCTGCTACATATCAATGAGAATCAACATGAAATATAAAAGTATTACTATTTTTTTCTTCTTTGGAAGCCACGGAGAAATACATTAATAACAGATTAATTATCCCTGTAAGCAATGTAATTACTCAAGGCAATCAAAGGAGCAGCCTTTTCGGGATCAAATCCAGAAAGCTGTTCTCGAGCCTCCCTATTCAATTCCTCAGCGAACTCTCTCGATTTCTCAATGCCAAGCAGCTTTGGATAAGTCATTTTATCAGTCACCAAATCTTTCCCGGCCGTCTTCCCCAATTCTTGGGAAGATTTAGTGACGTCAAGAATGTCATCCACCACCTGAAACAAGAGCCCAATACACCTAGCAAACGTTCTCAATTTAGCAATTTCTTCATCTTTTGCACCACCCGAAATAGCACCAAGAACCACTGATGCTTCCAATAAAACTGCGGTTTTGTGTATATGAATGTACTCCAAATGCTCTAATTCCACATCTGTTAATCCCTCAGAGAATATGTCGACTATCTGTCCAGCTACTAGTCCTTCAGATCCAACACACTTTGCCAATTCACCTACCATTTTAACAATCCTATCTGATGATACCCCTTTTGTGGCAGTGGCCATGTGCTCAAAGGCAAGTGAAAGAAGTGCATCACCAGCTAAAACAGCCACATTTTCACCAAACACCTTGTGATTTGTGGGCTTCCCCCGCCGTAGGTCATCATTATCCATACACGGAAGATCATCATGAATCAAAGACATGGTGTGGATCATTTCAACAGCACAGGCTGAAGGCATTGCAGTGGATACTTCCCCACCCACAAGTTCACACGCCGCAATGCACAGCATGGGACGAACCCTTTTTCCTCCAGCAAGAAGTGAGTATCTCATCGACTCATGAATCATCAAAGGCTCCTTCAACAAGACTGCATTTTCCAAAGCCCTGTTTACAGAACTTGCCTTCTCAACCATATAGGCCTTGAAATTGAAAGTGGGTATTTCTTGGCTTATGCTTTTGCTATCTTCTTCCTGTTCTTTGGTTAGAATTGCTGATATGGAAATAGAAGAGAAGACAGTAATTTTTTTTGTGGGATTTTGGGAAAAGAAAGAAATGGGCAGTTTGTTCTCCAGAGGATGGGGAAGAAAAGAAAAAACTTGCGCGGATCTGTTCATGGAATTTGTTTGATACCATGTTGTAATTGGATTCACAAGACTCATTCTTGCTGACAAATATTATTACATACAAGTTTACTTCACTACGTGAGCGTTATGTGAATATCTGGAGGCTTTATAAAGGAATTTGAGAGGATTTCAGAGTGATAGACAGTCAATCAAACTGAATAGGAATCAAAATTTGATTATTCTTGCAGTCAAACTTATCGCAGGTCATGTGTTCGTGAAACTTGCACTCTTCAATATTTTATTATAATTGTGAAGATTAAAGACCTTGTTTGTCCTTTAGCTTCATTTTAATTTTAATGCACTTCAATATTTTTATTATAATTGTGAAGACTAAAGACCTTGTTTGTGCCCCTAGTTGAGCCCCATTTTAATTTTAATGTATTTTTTTTATCTTTCTTCTTTTTAACTACGCATTTTTAAATAAAAAAATTTACACGTAAATTCAAAACATTTTATTCTTTTTTAATCCCATATTTTACCAAACAATTACTATTTCAAAATACATTTTCCCTAAAAACTAATTTTAATGGAGCCAAACAGGGCCTGTATTTCATTACAACTCCTTATAAATTTAAGTCTATATTTCGATTGATTAAAAATCAGATTTTTAGTAAAATTTGATAAAAGATGATAAAATATGTTATTAAAAATTCATAAAAGTTGTGAATCGCTTTGTGATTAAAAATGAACCCAGAGCTTTCATAGCATAGTGGTGACATCGACGAGTTCTCTACCTCTGAGAGGATGGAGCATTTTCAAAAACTGGGGATAAACAAGAATTAAATGTCAATGTCAAACTTTAATTTCTAACACATGTTTCTCAGAATTCAATTACTCCTAGCTTATCAACCACTTATTAAATGAAACTCAATTTGTATTGGCTACTCCATTAAAGTTTTGATCATTCTTAAATTGTCACTTGTCTCGTAAAAATACACATCATTTCAAATTTCAACATCCCGATTAGTAAATAAATTTAGTTTTATAAAGTTGGACTTACGAGGGTCGCTTTGCCTATTTAATAGAGATTTAGACGGTTATGTTATGGACTTATGGTAGATTGATTTTGTAACTGTCAAATCGACCGCACATCATTGATACGAAAAAATGATTTTTAACGTAAAAGCGGGACCAAACTTAGGTTAAAAGTCACACCACACTGTTCTTAGATAAGTTTTTTTTTGACCCGTTGCTTCAATATATTGTTAATAAATTTTTGGTTCAAACTTGAAATTGGACCCGTTGCTTCAATATGTTGTTAATGATGCATTGAACTATTCTTAGATAACGATTTGACACTGCCTAGTTAGAAAATTTTATTGCACTAAACGCAAAAAATGGTTATAATAAATTCATTATTTTTTTAAAACTAAATTTAAATATTTGCGTGTAACACAAGTTACACGTACAATAAGATTTGGCCGCAATTCTCATGATAAGCTCACATTTAAAACTAGTTTAACAGTCAAATGAGTGACTTTGACTAAAAATATCGTTTGAGCCCCATTTTATTAAAAATTTATTTTTTTAAAAAACACTCATTTTCAATCACACACTTTTTAATAAAATATTTTTACATGTGAATCGAAAATTTTTCCTTCTTTTTTAACCACACATTTCTAAAAATTACTATTCCAAAATGGGACTCAAACACGACCATAACATCGTAATGACAAATTTCGTAACAACATTGTATTGAATTAGTACTTGATATTAGTAAAATTTAAAATTATCTATCAAATTTCGACGTGAGTTCGAACCTTCAAACCTATTCAATTATTCTAATTCTCAAATAGAGTTACTTATAAGTTTAAATTATTCTAAGCTACCGTTTGGCACCCCATTTTTTTTTTTTTTTCTCATTTTCAACAAACATGGGCTCCTTTGAATATCATGAAAAGTGTTCGACACGATATCAAACACATTGGGTTAATTTCACAAACGGTCACTGAACTTACTTAAACATCACAAAACGATCACCGAAATTTCATGCGTTTTCGTAAACAGTCAATGAACTTACTTTTAGGACTATTATGATGTTAATTCAAACTGAAATGATCAAAACACGTGAAAATAGAAGCTTGAGGACCTTAAGTACAAATTTGGCTGAAATTCTACTCAAATTGGCAGAGATTTGACCCCAAAATTTATAATTTCTGCAATTGATTGAGTACCCAATATTTTTTGAGCCCGAATTTCAATTCCCCCATATTGATTTGTATTTTGAAACACATTTGAGCCTTCAATTGATGGATGAAATTCAGATTCACGCGGGTGGACCGTTCTTAAAGCCAAATCCAAAATTGCTTCTTTTGACGGATGAAATGCAGAAATTGAATCCTTAACCAAGGCCTTGTTATCATGAATTTCATTATGGTTGGTCCAATTTGTTGATTGGAGCTGTGGAGAAGCATTAATTGAAAGGGGATCAAGTGGCTCACGATGCGTTTGAGCTGTCCCATCGTTAATCGCCGATTCCAGACCAAATTGGGGAAGACCCATGCGCTCAATGGATGCGCCAAGAGGAGTAGTTGCCTGAGGTGGTGGTCCGCAATCATGGGTCCTACCACCGACGCCAGAATCAAAAGATGAAGAATGCGTAGTGGCAGGCAACGCTAACGGAGCTTTCTGATTTTGATGAAGTTGATTATTTGTTGATTGGAGGCTATGGATAGGGTCGCCTAGAAGAGGAGAATCGACCTATATATTGGGCTTAACGTGGGTGTCGCCAGAATGTGTATTTTTTGCCGTTTTGGGATGGGAATGGAATTTGCACTTGAGGTCCTCAAGCTTCTATGTCCATATGTTTTGGTCTTTTAAATTTGAATTAACATCATAACAGTCCTAATAGTAAGTTCAGTAACCGTTTGTGAAAGCGCATGAAATTTCAGTGACTGTTTCTGAAAATTTTAAATTTCAGTGACCGTTTTGTAATTTTTAGGTAAGTTCAGTGACCATTTGTGAAATTAACCCAAACATATTTGACTTCTTTGAGTTCTTTCCATTGATAAACAGTGCATTATGCCCAATGTTCCTTTTTTGCCCTTGAAATGGGAGAATTCTAAGGTAAAAGGTTGAGGGTAATTGTGTAATTTTAATTGATCAAAATATGGTATTTTTGGCATTCACTTCTCGGGCATTTTGCTTTTCCCATTCATTTGACAAATATGTGGATATATTTCAATTTTTTAATTCATAATCACTGTAGTAAAATGTATTTTGATCAAATATTCTATTTTAATGAGAATCGAACAGGGGCTTAGCCCCTGGGTTGTGGTTAGCCTTGCCCTTCAAGTTACAATCGAGTCTTATAATTATATTAAATTCGACCCATGACTTTATTAGATAAGTAAGAAAAGTCCTTTCTACAAAGAAAAAAGAGGGTGAAGGATGTGCTATGATATGTAATATGACTAGGTCGAAACACTACTCTCAAGAAGTCAGAGTAGAATGTGACGGAACTATTGAGAAAGATCATTACGTAGATATCAATTGATGATCTATTGATAACACCACATAGAGGAGAGCATTATAGTACAAATTTATGCTGAAAAATGTTATTAGTAAGAGAGACGTATAAAGTACATGTACCATAGCTGCAAAAGAAATAGATCATTATTCAATCCTCTCATATTAGAATGGACAGTAACACACGTAAAGGGTCAAGTCGAACGCTTTCTTTTATAAAGAGAGTCAAAAGGAAACTTCTGTAGAATCTTAACTTTCAAACAACTCAACTCTAATCGATTCCTGCTATACATCAATTTTTAATACAATAAAATAATAAAAATACATAAAGGATACAGGGGTGGACGCAGACTTTTTGGGTTGGGTGGGCACAATCAAACTTCCAAAAAGTAACGAAAAAATTAAAGTAAGAGATATTTTATTGCAATTGTTCTCTACGTATTCTTATATTTTGATAACGTTCCATAATTAAAGTGGGAAATAGAGAAAAATTTAATATAGTTTCGTAATTCAAATCAACAATTATTAATTTGGTCTCTGTTTGTGGTCTTTTTTCTTCTCTCTAGAATATTTATATCATATGATTTAAAATCAGAGGAATTAGTTTTTTTTTTCGCGATCAGGTTCAGATTGCAAATGGTGTTCCGTTCTAGCCTTTCTGGAATTATACAGGATTATTTTTTCCTTGCAACAAAAAAGAGAAAAGAAGCCAAGCTTACTGAAAAGCCCATTCTTGCGTTCCTAACTTGTATAAAAATATCAGAAGAAAACATTGGGAATAAGTCTGGTTTAAGTGGATATGCTCACAATCTTTGAAATAATTTTGAATGGACCATAGTTTACACCCACTTTTTAACTATCAAACAAGGACTTCCTATGTTTCTTCAGATGTTTCTATAAATTGTATGTACTGTAGACTAACATCTTTCTATCCTCTTTTTGTTTTTGTTTTTACATACCTTTGCTTGCTGATTTCGTCTTCCCACGTGAAGAAATGAAATCTCAAGTCTTCTTGTGCTTTGGGAATTCAGTTGCCTCAACCCAATTTTTATTGCGAGATGAATTCAATATATAGACAACACGATGCGAAAATTGCATGTAAGTATTTTTTTTTTTTTTAATTGCTCTTGAGTTGCATTAGCTTCTTGTTCCAGTATTGCTGTCTCTGTGATTTGTGAAAGCATTCTGTGAATTGCATTATGAATTGATTCCAGTATTGCTGTGTAAATTGCGCTATTACTTTGCTTTTGCTTCTAGTATTTGTGGTTCTATCATTCTGAATTGCTTTCAATAATTGGAAGTTGTGAATTGCTCAGGGGATGAAATTAGATCATTAGAGTTTGGTGAACTTAATTGAGAATATTTGACTTTATACTTGATTTGGACTTAACTTGTTGTTTTATATTTTTATCATTATTAAATTCATGACCAAAAACTCGAAGTTCGGGGTCGACTAAATTGTGCCCACACTGAATCAATTTCCTGGCTCCGCCCCTGATTGCAAGTAAGTCATTCTTGTGCGG